GCTTTGTTGTATGTGTGTGTGCGTCCTGAGGCTTTGTTGTCTTGCCAAGACTGAAGCTGAGACTCACGGAGCTAAACCCATACAGATGGAGGATCTTAATTTGAGTCAGTTTGCTACAGCAGGAAAATGATCCTGCAGCAACAGGAAATATGAATTATTATGTGGATTAAGTAATGGATATTTTTGTAGGGGTTGATCATTTTTATGTAAGTTAAAATCAAGTCTGAAATTTGAAATGGGAAATTACAAACTTCAGAAGCCTTTTTAAACTCAAATACACTACAGGTTTTTAATTTCCCGCATTGCATGAAAGTTATCCTGCAACATGGTGCTCAAATTAAGATCCTACATCTGTACGGTGAAAAGAAAGGAGAGAATAAAAGAGAAGGAGATGAGAGAAAAGAGAAGCTTTGGAGGAGAGGAAAGAGTTTAGAGGTAAAAAGGAATAGAGAGACATAAGCATACGAGGGAGGGAGAAAGAAACAAGGGAGTGAAGGAAGCAGCGGACCTTTTCATGGCATCTCAAAAGGTAGAACTAGTTTAAGAGTTAGGGATTGTGGGTATTGTATTCCAGGTTAACCGCAGAACTCATCTGATATCAGACCACCCTATGAGAGAGTGTGTTTAATCCTGTGAGCAGACTTCAAATGGGCCAAATAGATGCCATCAGCACTGCATAAATTAACACCCAACCTTACAGTGGAAAAGAACGCTGACATTCCTAACTTTTGCTCTTTTGTTTTGTAACAAGTGACAACTTGCCAAGGTGCACTGTGCTGAGGTTGCCAGGGCGGTGTCGGATTCCTGGGACGTGCTTTATTTACGCCCTGGGTACCGCCGTGTTGACAGCTGTGGCGTTTGTGAGGCACTGAGGAGTGTGGGTAATTTGCCAGTGAGAGGCGTACTGATGGTAGACTGGGGGATAATTAAGAGGGAAGGCTTGGGTAATGCGCCGCCATTTAGATGATGAGATGACAACACAGAGCGAGAGAGGGGTTTTGAGGGACATGGTATCAATTGTATTTCTGGGTCTAAGCCTAAAAGGGCATTGGATGAGAACATAATTTGCCAGAAAGGAATGAATTAGAATGCATTGAGTTTGATTAAACTTTGAGATGTTTTCCTGCTTTGTTCCCATATACCTTACCTATTAGTCTGCTGAGGCGATCCTGTTTGTATTTCTAGGGGTTGAATTATAACCTTTGCCTACATGTTACCGTGTTCACTTTCAACACCTTCACTTTGCTAATCATGGAGGTATTTACAATCCAGACTTTTCAATATTGAATGTCAGAATTGAAGAAGTATTATCTAGTGGAATGTCTTTGCAGTGAAGCTAATCATGTTGAAGAATTTGGTCGTAAATATCTTTGAGACACCTCCAGTGTTACTCAATGGTTCTATTGTGCTATAGTGTTATAACTTGTGTTGACATAGCTTTTCTCCTCATTAGGGGTAACTGAAATACATGTATCATTTTGTCATATTATAATTAGAATAAAAACAACGATCATGAGAAAAATATGAAATTGATGTTTTTTTAATGAAAATGGTTAAAAACTACATTATCCGCACACTTTACAAGCACTTAATACGAGTTTTTAAGGATATTACATGGATGAAAATTAAATTAACATATCAGCTTCAGACATACATGCTTTGAGCATTAAGAAAAAGGAACGAGAGCAAAATGAATTAACATTATGGTATAACAAAATGAATTAACATTATGGTATAACAAAATGAAGAGGAGCTTCTTTAAAATATACATCAAAAGATCCAACAGAAAATATAATACAATTAAATTGTATAATTTGGCCTCCCTGTTTTGCAAATGTCATATGATATACACACAACCTCTTTCATAAGAGTTGTGGACATTTTGTCTACAGATCTTGGAAACCAACCAAGGCTTTACAAAATTTACCACAAACAATTTGTGTAAAATAACAAATCCAAACTTGTAATGGAACAATTTTACAGGCATTTCTTTGGTTTTGATATAACCACATGATATCAGGTACATCTTTGGTTTCTCATAGCTGCATGAATGTTACCCAATCTAAATGTAGGCCTTCAAACCCGAAGGGATGAGTAGGAACACAGTCTAGGACATGCAATTATTTCCCTCCACTCACCAGGAGATAGAAATTAATCTTTATATTATTGATGGTCTTGAACACAATTAAGGCATAGGGAAGTAGATACTGTATGTCAATAGAACCATCCCTAATTGGTATAACATCGTCTCCTCCTCCTCTTTTTCACCAAAAAACCTCCACCAGTTTGTAACATGGGACACCTGACACCATGACTTAATTAAGTGGCTTAGCACAGCTCATACGAAGATGCTCTGTCCTGACATCTTAATCCTGGGCAGAGCCCTGAGCTGCTGGCACTAATGATCAGTAAATTACAATAGAAAGGAGATAAATCACATTCATAAAGGCTTCAAAGGACTCATCTCATGCAGAACAAAGGGACTTGTGCACAACAAGGGCTTGTTTTTTGTTAGGATTGCCCATGTTGTTGGTAAGAGGATCACACTTTGACCTCCCTCCCCTCTCCTATTTTCATCCCTACACTCTGTGTCCCCCTGGGGTACAGGGATCATGGCTGTGACAGCATGGGAAAGGCCCTTGGGACTGTGAGTGTGCAGACCTGTACCTTTACCTCTGTCACTGCTCAATCTACTGTGGTTCCAGTAAGGATATCAGAGGCTTGTTCTCATATGAGCGGCGTGTGTTTGAAAATGAGCTCACTTCGTCTCCAATGTTTTGTTAGTCAGTCTATTCAGACATGCCAATATGGTTTGAGATTAGGCCAATTAAAGTCTGAGGTTTCAGTCGTTCTTCGTACAGGTTAGTATCTTTGTTTGATAAACAAAGAAACAAGATCTGCATAGCCACATAACGTGGGTTGGATTGACAACTGTGTGCCTTAGGTATTTAACAATTTTTCTCTCTCTCTGAAAGGGAAATCTGTGTACATAAATGTCTATTATGATAATTTATTGTTTAAAACAGTGCAAAGAAAAATTAGAACAATGACTTTGGTGCCTCAAGGAGGCTGGGGGGGATCTTTATAATTAATGTGATTGGTGAAATTAATGTTGGGATCTGTGGTTCTAATGGTGGAATATCATGAAAGTTTTTAGTGCATCGAAGCTACATTGGAATACAAAATAATAACATTAAGTTTAGTTTTTTCATAATTTAGAAGCAATATATTACACAGATTCTAATTTTTATATTAAACAACAAATGAACAAAATAGTTAGATAAAAAAGAAAAGTTAGAGAGAAATGATAAATGATTTTGGGCATAAATGAACATTTCCTCAAATTTGGCTCAAATAAATATAAAAAAGTAAACTGTGTTATCCAGTTCAAACATACTATACTAAAACAGTTTGCGTACAGAATGAAAAAAATACGCTGAGTGTACAAAACATTAACAACACCCTCCTAATATTGAGTTGCACCCCCTTTTGCCCTCAGAACAGCCTCAAGGTGGGCTGGGCATGGGCACCTTGACTACAAGGTGTCAAAGCGTTCCACAGGGATGCTGGCCCATGTTGGCGCCAATGCTTCCCACAGTTTTGTGAAGTTGGCTGGATGTCCTTTGGGTGGTGGGCCATTCTTGACACACACGGGAAACTGTTGAGCGTGAAAAACCCAGCAGTGTTGCAGTTGTTGACACAAACTGATGAGCCTGGCACCTACTACTATACCCTGTTCAAAGGCTCTTAAATCTTTCGTCTTTCCCAATTATCCTCTGAATGGCACACATACACAATCCATGTCTCAATTGTCTGAAGGTTTAAAAATATTTATTTGACCTGTTTCCTCCTCTTCATCTACACTGATTGAAGTGACACCAATAAGGGATCGTAGCTTTCACATGGATTCACCTGGTCAGTCTGTCATGGAAAGAGCAGGTGTTCCTAATGTTTTGTACACCCAGTGTATATATTATAAGTAAAAATAAAGAAAACAGTCCAAGAAACTAAAACAACAGGAATCCATAAAATTCCTGCTTAAAAAAAAAAAAACTATTCTCTGCTAATGTCCTGGACAGTCCTCAAAATATCAGCTATTGTTTTACTGCATAGATTATCAATACATTAACGACTTTACAGGGGAGTTTCACTCAAAGACATCATGTTGTTCATTAGGAATAAGCATTGCTTACTGTACCACCAAGGACTGATCCATCCTAGTTCAGATAATACATTAAATTGTTTTTAATGATGTTTCATGGACTGAAGGGTGAATCTCCAAACCTCACACCAAATAAAAGCTTCAGAATCAATTGTCATGTATACATTAGCAATACAGCCACAAGTCATCTAGGACAGGTTCTGAGTCATTTGTGAAGCAAACATCCTATTTGACCTCTGTTATCACTTGACAGTCAAAGGCCGTTGAGGCAGTACAGTCACTGGTCTGGACGCTTAGCTCGTAATGCCAAGAAAGGTACTGTCATCTGAGGGATAAGGATCATTTTGGTCTTGTTGGCAAGTTAGCCACAATAGCACTAGCATTTTTTCAGCTGCATAGAGTGAATGGCTGTGACGGTTTCGCCATTCATAGTCTTTGGTATGCATGTTGTACCGGTTTCAAAAGATCCTGATATATTACTATGGCTTTTTTTGTTGTAACACCATAACATCTATTTACAGTGATTTTGCATTTCTTACTCATCAATTGAAAAGCATGAGATTTGTATGGCTTTCAGAGCCTCAGAGAGTAGTCCCTGTCACAGTGCAGGGTATACTCATGGCTTGCATAAAGGCCATTTCTGGCCATGGCATTCTGACAGACAGTGAATGTCTTTGGTCAACTAGGAAAAGGGTATGAAGCGAGTGCTGGAGAAATAAAAGACAAACATGCAGCATTTCTTTTTGGGGGGAGGATTCATCTTTTTTTGTTCATTCATCTTCTTTACTTTTTCTCTTTCTTTCTTATCTCTCCTGCGTTTCCTCTAGCTGTCTGACAGTCAGTAAGGCCTCCAGACAGACTCGTCCATGCGTCCAGACCCGCTCATAGCCGTAGGGGAGTTGCTGTGGCTGCCGTCTGCCTCCACCCCCTCGCTCTGGTTGCTCAGGCCCTGGTTCATCAGGCTGTTGCCCCCTCCAGAGGCTGAGACTCCAGAGCAAGGCAGCAGGCGGGTGGGGGAACGCTCACCCCCGGTCCCGGTCGGGCCCACCATGGAGAACTGGTAGGAGCCGGACCCGGTGCCGTAGTACAGGTGGTAGGGGGAGGTGTTGGACTGGAAGTGGCTGCCCTGGTTCTGGTTTCCCGGGTAGGGCGGGGGCAGGTAGGTGTGGTAGCGGGAGGAGGCAGACATGCCCGTCACACTGAGGCCTCCAATGCCTGTGCTGGAGGGGTTGGTTGAGTAGGTGAAGGCCCCTGGGTAGTGCATGCGTGGGTCCGAGAAACGGGGGTCGGTCAGCGGGGACAGAGAAGGGAAGGAGGTCCTCTGGGGGAAGAGGTCAGCGGTGGGACCTGAGAGAGAAACAACATATTTGGTTTAGAGACTCCTGGCGCACATAGACCCACTCATGGAAATGTTTGAGTCAAAGTGAGAAAGGGAGAGTCAGAGTTCCTTCCTTTGACAGGAAGCTGTAGTAAAGTACCACATCCCCAACTGACAGTGTGGGCCTCCAGTCTACAACCCTGCAAACACTAGCTAGCTAGAAGTAATAAACTGAGACATCAAGCTGTGACAGCACATCACCACACAGCTCTGTTCACCAGATGAAATTATGAGTGTCCTCCCTCTCAGCCTTAGCATAGCCCTCCTACAGAACCCTACCAGCTGAACCAGAGTAATGTACAGTAACAGTGTTATCTGTTATTTGGAGGAATGAAAAGAGGCATTGTCAGAGCAGAGTAGTGCTTTGAGTCAACACTGACAGCTTGTTGTGCAGCGTGTGCTGTTGTGTAACTCTACATATTGTACTTTACACTGAAGAGTGGGAACAGGAAACTAAAGAGCTAACCATCACATTCAGACAGAGGGAAGGAGGTAGGGAAAGGGGGAGAGGGAGAGGGAGATTTCTACGTATTTGTGTATTTTGTAAAAGTAATGCAAGCCGTATCAATGTCACATTCTTGTCAGTGCTAAACTATCCTGAAGTGTAGTCGCATAGGTAACACAGCACACAAAAGCCAGCTGTTTTGACTTAAATTTCACAGCCAAACATTCCCTAATTTATTCAACTGACAGAGGAAATTCAGATCTTGCTCAATGGTTTGACTCTGCAGTTTTCCTCGCTGGGATTTGGGGCAACTCCTGTCACCAGCATATTTCCTTAAGCACAACACCATACTCCCCCACAAAAACCCATGCATGACTGTAGGGTTAGGCTGATCTGGCAGTTCTTTCCAAATGTGTGTGTTTCAAGTTCCAAGTTTTAGTGTGTGAAATGTGAAATGCCTTTCTTGCAAGCTCTAAACCCAGCAATGCAGTAATCAATAACAATGCAATACTAAAAATAACACAAGGTAGAACAAAAACACACGAGAAATAAAAATAAGAAATAAGAACATGAGAAAGTAAGAAGTTATATACAGGGTCAGCCAGTTCCTGTGTGTGTGTTTGTCCCTTAGGCTTCTCATTCATCTGGTAGCTGGCTGTTCTGGCTACTGTATGCTGCCACCTACTATACTGTAGTAATTGGGTTTGATAGGTGCATACAGGGACAGATGCACACACCATGCATTTAATGTATGCACCTAGGCCTTCAGCTAGTCTACCTGTGGGATCAGTCACGTAGGGAACCCATAAAGGCTCCACTTACAATTACCAATATTGACAATAGTTATTTTTTCTTCATTCCGTGTGATGTAGGCTTCTGAAAACCAATAAACTGACGTTTAATATCTCTGTTAAACGGACTACCTTTGTATTTATTTTTGCACTGTCTCTATGCACACTCACAGGACTCTACACACTCACACACGCTGACACAGACACTCCAACACACACATAACATGCACACACATTTATACTGACTCTATACACACATACAGTCACATACAACCTTCATTTACGCTGCTGCTAATCTGTTTATCCTGTATATAGCTTCTTACTTTCCCCTGTTCTTCTTTCTTTTTTATTTCTTGTCTGTTTTGTTCTACCTTATGTTATTTTTAGTACTATATTGAGTTTGCAAGAAAGGCATTTCACTGTACTTGTGCACGTGACATTAAAACTTGAAACTCTCTACTCGATCAGTTTAATTTCTTTTTGGCAGGCAGTCAAGAATGAAGGTTTGCTCAGGGTGCGGCAGTCAATCACCAATGAGAAAGTAGGCCAACGGGAGCTATAGAACACCTGACAACTGTCACTCATCTCTGAATCATGTCTGACGGTTTTCTTGTTACTGTAGCCATGGTTTTGGAATAAGAAATATATGTTTTATAATATTAAATATGTAACGTAGGCCTATATCTGACTGAGACTTTTATTATGGCATCGTCATTTAGACTTTATGTTATGGATTTTTGTTCTGACAATACCCTTCACCTGTGTCATCATTGGTAAATCTCCCCATCTTGCTATCCTACTGCAATGGAAGGCTTTCGACACCTTGTAGAGTCCATGCCCCGACGAATTGAGGCTGTTCTGAGGGCAAAAGGTGTTCCTAATGTTTTGTACTCTCAGTGTATGTTTTAATCTAGATGTACATAGGGTAATGGGCTGAATGTTGGTCTTGTCAGCAGAACTGTTTGTTGCCTGTAGCGTGGGCGATTTTCTAGGACATAGGAAAGAATGGCATATGTGTACTGATGAATAGTTAGTTATTGAGTAAGGTGGGCATGCAGGTATGTATGTACGCTCTGGAATTTGATTGACTGACTTGTCCTGTGCTGTGGCTTGGGGGAGCTCAACCTACATTGTGAATGCCAACAGGTGTGACGTGGTTCCTTGCACCTGCCACGCACGTGCACACACACACACACACACACTCACACACACCCCTGTCTGAACCTACTCATTTGTTTGTCTGATTCTACTGGATTTGGTTTTGATGGGCTCAGTGTTCCCACATGACTCTAGTATAAAATGTGGATTTGGATGACAGAGAAAAGACAGACTGTATTTGTGAAACAGCAAGCGCTTGCACGCCACAGCCCCGAGGGGGGAAGATGCTGAACTTGCGTGCCACAGTCTTGTTGAAATGTCTTTCCCCTACGTCTGGAGAACTGGGTCCATTTTCAGCAACAAAAAAATCTGTTCCTTTGCAATTTCCACGGCTCCTGCTTTCTTTTCTCAAGAACACATTTCTTTTCTACAGTTGAAATTCTCTTCCTTTTCGGATGAAGTGGGGTTAGTGAGGAGGGTTGGGGGGGGGGGGGGGGGGACAGTTTCTTTTTCCAGAGTCTACCAGGCACCAGAGTCGGGCCCCGTATCTGATTTCACGCAAAGAAAATCCAAACCTTCAGCTGCTGTTGATTCAGTATAAGTGGAGTCGGCCCACTAATTCCTACCGGACTCCCAAAAAGCTCTCTCTCTCTCTCTCTCTCTCTCTCTCTCTCTCTCTCTCTCTCGCTCTCTCTCTCTCTCGCTCTCTCTCTCTGTCTCTCTGTCTCTCCCTGATAAATATAGGCTTCAGGGTGGAGCCTGTATCTGTGGCACGGGGACTTGATGGCTCTGGCGGCTTTGGCCCACCCCACACATGATCTCTATTTAATTGTCGCCAGTGGAAACGTGTTGACTAAATTGCGGCGGGGAGAGGCTCCTGTATTTCGTCAGGGGAAACTCAACTGGACACTTATCACAACACCTTAATGGGGTTGTGTCCTGTCACAACCTTGGCGGTCGGCCAGCCAGAGAGCACCCACCACCACTTTTCACCTCTCAGCAGCTCAGCTGCTCCCTCTAGAGGAGAGGGGTAGATCAACAACTCTCTACTCACACACAGAACCACAGTTTTGCAATCTTCTGTTAGCTACCCTGATCCACACACAGCCCCCTCCTCGTCTCTCTGCCAGCTAATTATAGGCTGAGGCTCTGCGGCTCCGTGGCTCCGTGGCTCCGGGGCTCTGGGGCTGTGGTAACAGCCGGGCTGTGGGTACAGGGGAGGAGGAGTGGTGGCTCTTTGGTCCTGACGCGGCCTAGTTGGTAGCAGCGGCCCACCCCACACATGATCTCCATTAGGCTCAGCTGAAACGTGTTGACTAAATTGCAGGGACAGGAGAGGGGATGGACCCCAGAGGGCTAGTTGGTGCGGCCCGGCGTCTGTGATGTTCCCACTCTAAAAGGGGTGGCGGCTGGGAATTAAGTTTTTTTTATAGAGAACACAGTGTTCTAGCGCGCTCCTTCCTTTCCTTCACTCTCCTCTCTTTCCCTCGCTCCCTTGCTTGTGTGCGCGCTCCCATATTGAGTTCTGGACCGGGGGAAATCTCTCTCTGTCTCTCTCTCACTCTCTGAGGTCCACTAGTCCACAGTCAAGCGTGTAACCCAGATATGGAGGGAGGTTTGCCTCATTTGCTTACGGGAGAAACTGATTTTGGTTGTTAACATAAGGGCGAGCTGAGGTCGCCAGCGAGGTGTGTGTGTGTGGAGGGGTTGGGGATGCAAATCCAGGCGCTCACCTGTGAAATGTTTACTTAGGCTGAATGCAAACTGTGACGAGCAGCACCCAGGGAATGGTGTCTCAGGCAAATAAGTGGAGGGGTGGGAAAGAGGGAGAAAACCTCAGACCAGGCTGGCCCAGAGAGAGATAGATGGAGAGAGAGAAATCTCTTCTCCTTTCATCTCCTTCTCTCAGACCGCAGCCAGAGAGGAGTGACTGTCCCATGCTTCCCAGACCATCACTGATTTGAGAGTAGATTAGATTTTTTTGTGATGAGTGGTGAGAATGAAAAGTTATGTTACGAATGCTGAGTGAGATCTTGACCAAACGCCACAAGAATAGTCAGTTTGGCCAAGAAATACAATGCCAGGGAAATAATGTTGGTCCACAAGCCAAAGAATAGGAGACACAAATAATCCGTAGATGTTTGTTTAAGCGCTTAGGCCTTGGGGTCGGAGCTTCGCATCTGATGCAAATAGCCTTCACCTCTTACCGTGGCTCTTCTGAACTAGAACAACACGGTCAACAACCCCAAAGCCCTCTCCATGGCAGCCACTGTAGCATGTGAGCCCAGCAGGTTTTGCATGGCCCTACCTATCACTAGCAACACGATTGAGGCATTAGGGAGTTTGTGATGATAAAACACCAAGATTTTCCTAATGCATCAACGAACCAGATGTGATTTATGAGTTTGGATTTGTTAACTAAATGGACTATGTTATTTCCTTGTATGACTTATTGGTAAAGAGTTAATGAGTTCTGGCCAGGTGGCATGTGCACTCCTAGATATTATTATTGATCGTAATACTTTAATAATCTCTGTCTCTCTGGAATTGGATATGAATTTCATAATTAGACATTAGGACTTCTCCCCACTACCTTTAGTCCCCATCAAACGTCAATTCCACTTTTCACACCCTAGTGAGTATCTTGTTCTGAAGTGAATATCTGGCAAGTGAATGTCTCGCTCGCATAGTGTCAAAAGTAAATATGTAAATCTATGCATTCCATCGCCATGTACATTCCATCTTCTAGTCATTGAAAAATGATGAAACTGCTGCGTTTTGTTTGGAAATCATTGACAGTCACATCTAAAGTCTGTTTTACAACAGGGGCTTTCCCTTATCAAACCTATTGAAAACAGTGAATTTCCTGCAAGCCTAACTGATGAGTCATACAGATAGGGCTGAGTATGAGGATCATCGAGGAGTAACATTGAAGGGTGTGTGAGCAGATGACTCAGCAGGTCTGGTGCAGTGTGCTTTGGTGGTTTCTGGGAAGAGAATGGGTGGGTGGCTGAGTGGCTGTGGGGCAGGAGAAGAAAAGTGCCAAAACACCAGGGAGGGAGGGAGGGGGTGTTCAGGAATGTTCTGGGATCCAGAGCTCTGAAGGCAAACCAAAACGCATTCCCCAAAATGTCACAACGAGTGGAACGCCCTTTGCATACCCTTGGTTACAGCTCTTCCACTATCTCCATACTAATTCCACCTTGTCAAAGAGATGATTGATTGACTATTGATATGAAGCAGAGTGTTTCAATTGTTGTTCTCACCTACTCTTGAAGATGTTGGATAGTGTGAATTGGCTAGGGTGATGATGTGTATGTAGTCCAAGCCCTCTCAATCATCCCCTCTCTGTATTTTTCCTGCCTGTTTTCTCAGACTAGTAATTATGGCCATCTCTTATTGCTCACCACGCCTCTCGTACTGCGCAGTGATTGGGCCTTGCATGTTATGATTAAGCCTCAGAAACCAACAAACAACACTTGCAAACATATTTCCCATATAGGCCTGCGCACACATACACACACACAGATATGACTCACGCTGAAATGCACATAAAACTGGGGTCATCTAAGGAGAGCGGGATGCTTGTTTACTTCCTACTGCTGTGGTAGGGTGTGTGAATGAGAGAGGCCGAAAGAAAGACATAGAAAACCCGAGCGAGAACATGGGAAAATAATATAGAGAAAGCACAAGTGAGAAGTAAGGCGACGTAGAGTAGTTTGGGATAGGGGCCCCAGGTTGAGTAGATATAATATCTCTCTTACTTGACCATCTGAGGTCGTCCTCCACCTTGCATGTCTTCAGAGTTGGTGGGTCAATCTGGTCAGACCACAGGGCTGCAATGGATATAGATAGTATGTGTTAATTAAGGAGAATTTAGACATGACACTAGCCTGACACTACTGTAGTCTGGGCAGGTATGATAACAACCTCAAAACATGAGTGTTTCTAATTCTGATGCACAGTAGAAGTGCAAGAGGATTAGAGAGAATAGTTCCTGGTTATGATTCTGTAGTTCTGTGCGCATACTGTGTTCGAGTGAGGGGAGTGCAGATCTCTTCAATGCCCTAAAAAAAGCCAGCAACATGTCAAAGTCATCTGAGTATGGTGGTTTGGCTGTCTACCTGTGACAGGCCTGCCTGTGCTGACTGAGCAGAGAGGAGGGTAGAAGGGGAACTCTCACTGGAGTGAGACTGGAGAGAGGGCTTGGGAAAACAGGGCTGAGGGGCTGATGGAGCTAACAGAGATATTTTGGTCTCTCAGGGGGCTGGGGAGTGGAGGAGGTGTGAGGCCTTTGTTGGCCTGTCCAGTCAGCCTGTCAGGGAGAGAATAATCCCTACTGGCGCAGCGCGTGAGACCCTCGTTCACACTCAACGGCCACACCGCAGGAGGCTGATTTTGACATACTTTTTGTGCGTATGGAACATTTCTGCAATCTTTTATTTCAGCTGAATACACTGTATACAGTATACACTGAACAAAAATATAAATGCAGCATGTAAAGTGTTGGTCCCATGTTCCCTGAGCTGAAATAAAAGATAGCAGAAATGTTCCATATGCACAAAAAACTAATTTCGCTCCAATTTTGTGCACAAATTTGTTTACATCCCTGTTAGTGAGCATTTCTCCTTTGCCAAGATAATCCAGCCACCTGACAGGTGTGGCATATCAAGAAGCTGATTAAACAGCATGATCATTACGCAGGTGCACCTTGTACTGGGGACAATAAAAGGCCACTCTAAAACACAATTCCATAGAAGGCTCAAGTTTTGAGGAGAGTGCAATTGGCATGCTGACTGCAGGAATGTCCACCAGAGCTGTTGCCAAATAATTGAATGTTAATTTCTCTACCATAAGCTGCCTCCAATATTGTTTTAGAGAATTTGGCAGTACGTCCAACCAGACCACGTGTATGGTGTCGTGTGGGCGACCGGTTTGCTGATGTCAACGTTGTGAACAGAGTGCCCAAAGGTGGTAGTGGGGTTATAGTATGGGCAGGCATAAGCTATGGACAATGAACACAATTGCATTTAATTGATGGCAATTTGAATGCACAGAGATACCGTGACAAGATCCTGAGGCCCATTGTCATGCCATTCATCCGCCGCCATCACTTCATGTTTCAGCATGATAATGCACGGCCTTATGTCGTAAGGATATTTACACAATTCCTGGGAGCTGAAAATGTCCCAGCTCTTCCATGGCCTGCTTACTCATCAGACATTTCACCCATTGAGCATGTTTGGGATGCTCTGGATCGACTTGTACAACAGCATGTTCCAGTTCCCACAAATATCCAGCAACTTTGCACTGCCATTGAAGAGGAGTGGGACAACATTCCACAGGCCACAATCAACAGCCTGATCAAATATATGAGAAGGAGATGTGTCACGCTGCATGAGGAAAATGATGGTCACACCAGATACTTACTGGTTTTCTGATCCACGCCCATATCTTTTTTTAAGGTACTGTATCTGTGACCAACAGATGCATATCTGTATTCCCAGTCATGTGAAATCCATAGATTTCGGCCAAATGATTTTATTTCAATTGACTGATTTCCTTATATGAACTGTAACTCAGTAAAATCTTTGAAATTGTTGCATGTTGCGTTTATATTTTTGTTCAGTATATTTGTATTGCAGTTTTGACATGAACATACAGTAACTAAGGCCTGGAGAGTTCCTGGTTATGTCCCTGGTTCTAGTCCTGCTACAGTAACACTACACTATAGTATGAGCTGAGGAACAACATCCTAACCGCTATATTAGCAGTTGTGATCCTGACCTTGAGAGGGGCCAGGAACAGGGGGAGGAGGTGGAGGGGAGGGGGGGTGTTCACCTATGCCCACACTGGGCCTAGGCTGGCTGGGGCTGGGGTGTGTAAAAGCTCTCTCACCCCCAGAGCTACTCGACTTCCTCTCCAAAGGCCCGGATCAGCACTTAGCCTCTGAGAGGTCCCGCGCTTTGCCCCACAATGGGAAATTCTTACACATAAATGGGGTTATTCAGAAAGGCTTCGAAGCAGCTGGTGCGATCCGCTCAAGAAAATAAACATTTCCTTCAAATATTTTGATTGGCCGGTGGACAACGTCAATACCAGCGGCACAGATTACCCCTGTTAATATGAGGCTCAGCCTCCTGGGCGGGGCCAGAGATTGGGGGGAAGGGGGTAGGTGCATTAGGGGTAGAAGACGACGGCTGCGTCACAAATATGAACGTTTTTGGGGTGGCGTCACTGATGGCTGGGAGGACACAAATAAACACATGCTCTGCTTTTGAAGTGCAGTTAGAGATGAAAGGACGTCTGCTGAGACGTTTCGAGCCAAGATGGTGTCTGTCCTCGTGACTCCGGATCCGTCAGCGCCTCAGAGACATGTAATGCGCCTGTCGTAATGAAGCGTGTCATTGAGACACAGTGAATGCCGGGCCTTGTGCTGGCTTCCTGTTTCGCTTAGACCCTAGGCGTCGCCATGGAGAGAGAGAATGTGAGCGCGAGCAAGAGAGACAGAGTGAGAGGGGGAGAGAGAGAGAAAGACGCCAGCGAGGAAGGGAGAGAGAGAGAGAGCGAGTTAGAGAGTGAGTTAGAGGGGAGGAACATGGCCTTGGCTTAGCTATGTGGGACACTTGATATGTCTTTTGAGCCCTCACTTAAACATGAGTAAAAACAAACACATCGACTGAAAAATCCTATGTTCTATTTGAGAGCCCCCCACCCTCCCTTCCCCCTCTCCTCAGACTCAATAGAGACTGTTCAATGCGCACATGTAGTTTCTGTAATTGCTGAAATGTAAAGCTCGACCAGCTCTGATGTAAAATTATAACTAACACAAACAGTTGAGTCTGGTAAAAAAAAGCTATATTTTCTATTTTTCCTGCTTAATGTGGAGAGATGGCTTCAAAAGATAATATTTTTTTTAGTGGAGAACAAAAACATTTTCAGTTTGAATAATTCAGGTCTAACTAAGGTCACAAAAAGAGAGTAACCACAAGTGTAGCTCTTAGGCACCATAACAAATAAACCCCATGGCTACCATTGATATATTATGTAAATACAGTGCTGGAGAAGTAAAACAGAATCCCTCGTCGCTGGTCTGGATTCCCGCTAGTTTTGGTTGTGTTTGGCCTGAGAGCTCCTTTCCTGTAGGGGTTTGGCACGGACCAGCATGCATTGCTGCCCAAATGGAGCTTGGAGCCAACAGCATCTCTACCAGGCTCACAGCATGGCCACCTCTCTCTGGTCTTGTCCTGACAGATAGTCAACGACCCACAGACCAACACAATGACCTAGTAAGCACATCTGGTACTAAACAGAGACATTGGAGCACGATGCTTTGGCCTTTTCCTTTATAAGCATGTGCTTTGTGCCTGGCTGCCTGCTCCAGGGACTGGCATACTTGTTGTGTCTTACAGTGACTCTTTGTTGGTTCTAATTGGTTGATCATGTCCTGCTGGGTGTTAGAGTGGGTTTGAGGTTTGAGGTAGACACAGATCCAGGATCAGATTACCCAACTCCACATCCTAACATTTACCATTAGGAGAATTAAATAATATCTGACCCTAGACTAGCGGTTAGGGGCTGTGGGTCTGATCAGGGCTGTTTGTGGTAGACTAGAGACTGGAGCAGGCATTCGCTTGGGGGGCCAGCCGGCTTGTTTATGTGGAGTAAACAGTGTGGTCACTGTGGACAGGAGAGGAGGGGTAGGACCTCCCTCTAGCTAGCAGGACTTTCACAACCAGAGAGAATCCGGGATAGATTCACCTGTTTGACATTTCATCACAGCAGAACTGCTGCAGATATATGCCATTGGCACAGTTTTGGTTTATTGGTGGAGTATCTACTGTAACCACCAGTAAATTGTTTTATTTTGACCCCTGCTATTTGGGACCTATTCCATACAGGTGCCATGGCTTAGCATGCCACCTTGTGAACAGTATTTTATAGAGCCATTATTGCATGGAACTCCGTTCCATCTCATATTGCTCAAATGAACAGCAAACCAGTTTAAAAAAAAAAAAAAAAACTATAAAGCAACACCTCATAGCACAACACCTCTCCCCTATTTGACTTAGATAGTTTGTGTGTATGTATTGATATGTAGGCTACGTATGCCTTAATAGGTCTATTAATATTCTTTATTATGTCATGTTTTGTGTGGACCCAGGAAGAGTAACTGCTGCTTTTGCAACAGCTAATGGGGATCCTAATAAAATAAAATAAAAACCATTATTAACATACAGTACATTCTCTGAAGCATTACAAGGAGCATCCTGTATTATCATAGCCATCATAAAGGCCTAGATTTAATGTGAGGTTACCATAACCCCAGAACTGCAGTCTCCTGGCATGCTGCCTTGCCAGTCTTTAGTGGGGGTCTTAACCGGGTGCTGAGATGTGGTTCTCCTGGGCACCATGGAGGTGGTCCTTTGTTTCCTGCTCTGCTAGAATCATTAAGAATATATTCCTCATCGGGATAGGGGAATTAATACAACTAGAGTGTGTTTTATCACTCACAGCCAACACACACACACACTTTCCTCCACACCACAGGTTTATTGGGTCCTCATCAAAGCAGTGAGCACTTGACTAGATGACTGAAAGTTATGCTAGTATCTGATATTCATCTCCAGTCAGAAAAACACAGGTGTTGGAACAAATAGCATGTTAAATGATACCACCTCAAAAGGCAAAATACTTTCTTTTGGATGATTAAATTGCTGCTGTCTTTTTTTCTTAACGCATTTAAGTTAAAAGAGCAGCTTTGTTCTGGCGAGCTTGTTAAAGCCCCTTGTTTAGTTTACTCTCCTTTTGAAAAGGGAAAGAGGAAAACTGGAATCGCCAGGATTATGTCTAGCGTCTCGTTGAAATCTAATACTTAACATCTTTGTCTGGCTGGTAAGACTGGTATGAACTGTAGACTTTATACCCAGGATGCTTTAAGGAGATGGACAGCATTCTCTGAATATCATTAAAACACACATACACATCACCTGACATTTAGAAAACCAGAATAACAATTTTGGACCTGATTGTCTGAGTGTGGGATTTGCTTGACTGCCCTGGCAGAGCCACACACACAGCTCCCCACACGCCCTCCCGTAGGATCATTCCTCACAGCAGGCTCACCTGTGGTCACGGCTGAACAAAAACAAGCGGCTAGCCGAGCAAGCGTAGTGTCTGCCAGGGATTGAATCCTGTCACTGCATGCGCTGTAATGAGCTCTTAATTATCCTGTCTGTCTAGAGCGCTAGCAGAGCTTGCAACATTGGCACGTAACTGTGTGTGTGTGTGTGAGTTTAGCAGACGTCTCAAAAGCGTTGTGTTAACAAAACTCAGTCTCTATTTCATGGCTCAGACAACAATATGAAGCGAAGGGCTTTAGTAGGAGATGATATTGTATTTTCTCATGTTGTTGTCGGCTGGAAAGTCAAGGTTTATGTGTGGATAATGAAAAACATATTTTGCAACAGCAAGATGGGAATCAATTTAATTATAAAGTGTTGATGGCTCATCTATTAACCTGTGATCCTCTGCAAAATTCAACTGCCTGCGACGGCTGCCAAAAGCAGAGTGTGTCTTGTTTATATGTAAATACATCCCTGTTTCTAAATGTATTTATTTCAAAGGGTACTATTTTAGTTTGAGCTGTGTTTGTAGTTGCGTGTTGTCTAAGATGCTATATATGCATGGAGATGCCCAGTGATCTATGTCATAGCGTACATATAAAGCCTGTGTAGACAGTAGGTAGCTGAGAGGAGGGAAAATGTATCTTCACTGTTATTGAATTATTTTAGCACTAGTGCTGAGCTACAAAGTCTTGATGGTAATATCAGAGATTAAGGTGTGTGGTTTTACAGTCCTCCTCACACACACACACACACACACACACTCTTCCGAGAGGGCCCCTAGCACCTGGCGGGTGTTGTGTGGAATCAGTTTGGAGCTCTATGCCTCTCATCCCTGACGGCTCTGAGCCACATTAATGTGTTGTGTCTATGCTGGAGGTGTGTGTGCGTGTGCATGTGTGTTTGTGTGTGGGGGTTGTGCATGCATGCGCCCCACATGTGTTTGTGAGCGCGCCCAGTGTGTGTGTGTGTTCTACTGGTGTGGGTCTTTGAGATCTGACAGGCCTATAAAGAGGTAATTCCTGCCCTAATCCTCCTGCAGCTAGGCAAACGTGTGCAGAGCACAGCGCTTTTCTTCACATGCCATCCCAGCATTGTCTGTACACCTCTCCTGCTAGACGGGAGGAATTTGGAGATATTAAGCAAGCCCTTATGGATAAGTCCCTCTGGATAAGCTTACCTGCCATGGCCCTTCCATTGGCAGACAACATGCATTAAATACATTTATTGTATCTGTCTAGATTCCAACTACTCCTGGTCCTACTGGTCCACAGGACTGGTAGATGATGTTCCTTGGCCATGTTCAGTACATTACATGGCACTTATGGGGGAACAACAACATCAGTCAAACTAAATCAAAGCTGGTGCTGATAACCACAGTTGTGTAAGCTCAGCTGTAAGATAGGTAGGTCCACCGTGGTGAGTCAGGAGCACAAGGTTAAACCCCATGAGAGATACACTTCCACCCACAGAGAGCAAAACACTCCTAAACACACTGATAGCAACTCATTAACTGGGAAGGAGCCTTACTCTGTCTGTCAGCCCTAACCCCCTGCATGAGAACTAGGGAGTGGGTGGGAGAGGACAGTGTGTGTGTGTGCCTTGTGTGTGTTTGTGTCTGTGTGTGTTCGTGTTTTGTCTGCACACATCCAGACATGCCATCACGTTAAGAAGCTCTGACATATGTCTGAGAGCGAACCTCCACCCACGTACCTCCTCTCCCCTTAGACACACACACACCTCCTCCCCCCTGTCTCCACTGCAGATCTGCCCTGTTGTGCCAGTCAGTCTGAGACTGACGTGATTGCGGAGGTAGCAGGCGGCTGTGAGATTCCTGAGGCTGTAGAGTGGTGTGGTGAACCAGCCCCAGTGCCCTCGCCAGGCTGTTTGGCAGTAATCAGGGTGCCACCTGGCCCCAGACTGGATCCTGTGACCGACGCAGGGCATCCGGGGACAGAGCTGGCGTGAGTGAGCGGCCCCTGCCAGTAAATGTACTGGACCCTCCCCCAGGTCTGGGCTCTCATATCAGCAGGGAGGGTTGTACTCAACCTGGGGCCTCAGCCTGCCACATACAGGCTAATTCAGCCCATAGAGATAAAGTTAGAACAACACCGTCAGTTCATTATATGTCACAGTCAGATCATACAGGCTAACTCCGCTCATAACACCACAGCCACGAGCTGTTCACTCCCTTTCCGTTGGGCAGACGATATCGGAGCATGAGTTCTGATACCAACGGGCTCAGAGACAGTTTCTATCTACAAGCCATCAGACTGCTGAACACTTGAACTGGACTGAACACCTGCTCTGACTCTCCGCACCTTAGCATGCACGCACACACATACTGTATACACCCCTGTATTATACTTATGCTAAAATGTTTATTCTATTCTACTGAGCCATTTACTTTATGTTCGTATTCTTATATTTTCTTATTGTTGTTTCATTGTCGAGAAGGAACCTGCAAATAAGCATTTTGTTGGACGGTGTATACCATGTGTATCCTGTACATATGACTAATAACACTTGAAACTAATGTCAAAGTCAGCTCTCACTGTAGGCAGGGAGAGGCATTTGTAGCGCTAACCCCTATATACAGTGCTGTAGCAGAACGTGGAGTGTTTTGTGATGAGTGAGCAACACTGATTTGGGACAGACAGTGTGAGTGAGTCAGTGTGATAGTTATTCCTGTGTGGTTAGCGGTCCTACCTTGTATCTGGGACTGGGTGGAGGGCCCGAGGTGGCTCTGGTGCATGGGCCGGGGCTGGGGGTTACCAGGCACCATCCTCAGGCTGGCCCGCTGGTAGCGCTCAATCTCTGTCAGCCTATCAGAGAACTGCATCTTCTGGGGGTCCTCCAGCTTCACCCTGTGTCCTGAAAGAGAGAGAGAGGGAAAGAGAGGAGAGCCAAGTTACCACCTACACAGCCGGGAAATCATGGCTCTTTATTATTTTTCCCTGGCGGTACCAAATGGTCAAAAATAGTAAAAGCAATAACACATCCAAATGCTAGGTCTGCTGTAATATTTGAGTTTTCTTTCCTCAGGTCTCTCCATTGGCACCAACAGTTTACAGCTTATTAGGTTTTGTGAGTGTTTGTTTAGACCTGGGATGGTTATATTGGCAATGGCATCCCCATTCTATTCTAAGACATAATTAGTGTGAAAACAAATAGTACAGTGACCAAATGATATCAATATGAATAAAGGCCACTGTTCGCCACCAACTAATCTGATTATTAATATAATGTTGACAGGCACTGGACTTGTGGTTCAGCTAAACTTGCACCTGCCTTTGCGTTATAATCAGATAAATGGCTACATGCTCCTAATAGCACATTCATATAGGACTAATTTAATAGCACTAATACACCAATGTATAACAATAGTACTAGCACAATAATATAATGATATTTTGAAATAGTTTAACTTCACAGCATCAGCAGATTCTTCCAATCTATCCTCTTGTCCTCTACCTGTCCACTCAGCAGTACTACCCCAGTACAACCCCAGACTGGGTCTACTTATCGAAATAGTGACTATACTTCTTACAGCGACTCAGGTCTGACCAAGCAGTTACTCAGTGAGGGAAACACCCAGGAATTGCTCCTAGACTATAGTACTCATCAGACTGGAACACACTGTGTGGACGGGTTGCGCATATGTGCGTGTGTGTGTGTGACGAGAGAGGTGGGAATGTATGAGAAAAAGCATATTTGGCACCTCGAATACACCTGATCTGAACAAGACTTGGAAAGACAAAACACTACACTCAAACCTGAATCACTTTGATATCTCTTCCTCAGAATAGTTTTCCTTAAAAGTTATACTTGAAAGGCTAATTCAATGCAATCTCTCTCCATCTTATTTAACATGTGGTGTCACACACACACACACACACCACACACACACACACACACACACACCTAAATGCCATACGTGAGTCCGGATGAGGGACGCCTCTAATGGAGGAAGGGATTTAAATGTTACTATCAATGCAACAAACACGTCTGAAAGAACATGTAAACATTCTGTGGTTTTATCCCTGGATCTCTAATGCGAAGTAATGGCTAGATTTGAATATTTTATCACTATATAAAGGGGGCCAGCAGACGGACTGATATGGATTTTGCCCATCCTCTCTCCAGACTGACCAATGGGCAATATATCTTCCCTCCCTGCGACTTGACCCATGGGTAATGTATCCTCCCGTTTACCGCTCTAGAGATCACTCCCTCTTCTCTTTACAATATAGAATTCCCTATCTCGCACCCCCCCCCCCCCCCCCCCCCCACTACCCCCCTGCCCCCTTCACACATACACAGACGTACACACATAAATGATGTGGACTGAGCTTGACTCCCAAGTAGACTAGAATAGTCTACAATGCTTCCAATGATGCAGACGCATTCAAATTAACACTCTCACATGCATGCACATAACAAAACATAGTGTGGGTGATGGGTATTTATCTATCGCACAATCACCTCCCCCTTACACACACCAACACATTTCCACTTGCAGGAAACAAAAAAACACCCACACATGTATACTCACACTGGGATCAACACCCTCCCCTGTGTGTGTGTGTGTGTGTGTGTAATCCCTTACATGTAAAGGATTACAAAAAACTAACTGTAATCCGTTCCGTTACCAGCAAAAATATTGTAATCCGATTACAGATACTTTTGAAAAACTAGATGATTACTTCTAGGATTACTTTTAAATTCAGAAAGGATGTTTATTTGACACCTTTCTGTTTTCTCAATGACATTCAAATGAGCATTGAAAAAAGACGCAAGTTTGTTTCCGCCTGAGTGAGTCTGACCACAAGTCAGAGACCACTATGATGGCACACCAAATGCGTTTGATGGATCACTGGAAAATAGCATTATTAGGCTTTAGTAGGCTACAGTCCAAGCTATGTCTTCCAATGGTGCGACCAAAGATTTTCCAACTTGAATAAACGTGGTGTAGCCTACAGGCGATACGGATATCACTTATTATTGATGTGAATCACACTGCTGCTCTCTCCTTTAGCTATTTGCGTCTTACGGATTGTGGTTGTTGTGGATGGCTGTTCACAAATGTGTATGTGTATTTTAACCCAATAATGGTTGAATTTATTAAGTTTAAACTGCCTATCAATCATTGTTTTTGCGACCAGTGCGGATCCAAGCCTAAGCAATAAAAGTTTGAAGGAGTTACTCCTTTAAAGTTCTCCGAGGTATTGTGCTCAATACTGTCAACAACTAGTTTCATTTAAGAAGACTAGTGGGGCTTTTATTGTTCAATCTAATGCGTGCTGATAAAACAAAATCCATAGGCCTAACGGACAAATGCTCAAACTTGCACACTTTTGATAGACTTAAACATCTGCATATATTATCAAGATATCAAAGTGTCACCAACAAAAATGTAAACAATAGGTCTATAGCAGATGCAGTATACGGCATTAATTTTTCACATTCAAATAGCACTTTTCGGTAGTGCTCAAAGCCTGCCATTCCATGAGAGCAGCATTTCTTTTTCAACTCGAAGCAATGAATCCAATCAGTCCTCCATGACAACAAAATCATAAACAACAGAGTAGGCTAATAAGTCCTTTAGTTTTGGGGTTATGCTCAGGTAAAACAATTTGGCTAATCTATATTTCTATATTTCCAAGTCCTATTCTTGAAGATCAAGGGGTATTAAATTAATTGGAATGACTGGACATCTGACAGACTTTGGATTTTAATGTAAATATACAATTGTATTATTATTATTATTATTATTATTATTATTATTATTATATGTCGTAGAAAGCAATGGGTTAGAAGAAGCCTGCATAACCAACCCACAAAGTAAAATGCAACATCCATTTATGGCCAGCTATGTAAACTCTAACATTGATTTATCCTGCAATAGATGTCTTTCAATTGGTAATATAAATGTTTGTCTTATAATGCCTCTTTAAGTGAAAGTAATCTAAAAGTAACGGAAAGTAATTACATTACTGAGTTTGGGTAATCCAAAAGTTATGTTACTGATTACAATTTTGGAGAGGTAAGTAGTAACTGTAACAGATTACATTTAAAAACTAACCTACCTGTGTGTGTGTGTGTGTGTGTGTGTGTGTGTGTGTGTGTGTGTGTGTGTGTGTGTGTGTGTGTATGAGTAATGTGTCTGAATCCGGAGACCAGGGCTGTCGGACATCTCCAGCTGTTTGTGTTCCCTGTGTTGGAAGTCAGACATGAAAAAAGTAGTAGGATGCAGTAAAAGTGAGTGACCCCACCTATACACCCACCATCTCACTATGACACAGGGACACAGTCTACTCCAGACACACCCGCTTAAACACACGTATACTCACACACTTTTACAACTAGTATCTTGTTATTCACACTCTTCTGAACCCAGTCCCCCTCCCAGTCCCCACACCATCAAGAGGGAAAGTGGGACCCACACAGGCAGGCACAGAGCCTAGCTGGCTCCATCTCCCACACAGACACTGTGGCTACTGTCTGCTCCACCCCAGAGCAGGGGAGGCCAGGAGAAACGGCCCTCCAAATATAGACCCATATACGTGTCCTAGTGCAGTTATTAAGAGATTTACACCACCTCAAACGGCTGAGGTCAGGGAAATGATACATCCAGCTCTGTGGAAGAAGAAAAAAACAACCAGGGGAAAAGATGTAGAATTGGTCACTTTTTCTGTGGCCTGTGGTGGTCTGGGATGAATTGGTTGGCGCTTTGGGGATGAAAGTGATTGTACCGCATGATCACAGACACACACACAGCAGTGGCAGGGAGTGTGTGGCGACACACTGTACTCTACTTCCAGTAGAGGGTTTGGCCAGCCATGAGAGAGAACCATAGGAGCAGAGCTGAGGCTTCATTAGGACCATGCCTGGTGCTCATTACCCCAAACCCCACAGTTACTGTTAACACCACCAATCAACTCACATGGTGGACTCTAGCTCTCCTCTCTTCCCCCTCTTCATTCCCCTCTTTCTCCTCTTCTCTCTCTCACCCTCCCTCCCTCTCATTGACTTTTTTATATAAGAGAAAACTTCATCAGTTTCCCATCTGGGAGCTAACACATTTTATACAGCAACCTTCCTCCTCTTTTCTTCTCTTAGATATCATCACCACTTTAAGCCTCATAGAGAGGAAATGGATTGGTGCGATGGAGGGAGAATGGATGATTTGCTTTTCTAGTCCCTGTCTTGGCCTTGGTTTAGAGACAGACAGTGCCCTTGGCCTGATGCTGTTCAACACAGTGTTTAAACATATTTTCAGGTCTGACCCCAGCTTTTCCATGAGTGTGTCTGGTAGACCGACAGAGGTTGACTCCCACTTTACAGGGTCTTGACCATGGGTCTCTGTGTACTAAGGACCCATTTCGGAGGGGAGTCTGTGGTGGGATGAATATTTTATGTGTCAGGGTGCACTTAGGAGAGAATGCACCGTTTTTTCTCTATGATATCATAACCACAAGATAGAGCTGGGAGATGGAGGCCAACGGGGAGGCAGAGATGATGTGGTTCAAACACCAGCGCTCAATACATGGAAGAGGTAAAATGGATGCCAGAAGCTGTAGATTTACTAGCTTCCTCTCTAGATGGCTGTTGCATCATCTTAGAGCATTATGAGGACTGTGAGGAACAAATAAAAAGGTTGATATAAAATGTCTGGTATTAACGATGTATTGAAAATCCATTTAACTGAAAATCTCTTTAGAAATAATGTCTGTGCCCTTACCACCCAGCATTTTTTTTTTTTTTTTGCCCAATACAATACAATTTTATCAGCAGATTAACTAAAGACATAGGGCCTTGATTTCCCCAATGTTTTTAGTGTTCTTCAGAACATGTAGATAGGTTCAAGTATAACAGATAAGATACATCAGTGTGGGAAACTGTCCCTGTGACTGGTCCCTTTGAATTTAAACACTGAAGAGCAAAATGATCAACCTTGATCGCCTACACATTGCATTGAGCCACAAGGAGCAGGATGATTAAGGTTAGTATTTGGGAATTCTAGACCTGTGGGCAACTCTTACTCAGAGCTCACAACCCCTTCAGACCAGACAAGCCGATCTCAGCAAGTCCCGCCCTAACCCTCTAAAGACCATATCAGTGGAACACAGAGACAGTGTTTGCTCAGAGAGTGCTAATGACAGCTCATAAACACTGACGGGTCCAGCTGAATGATCACCCGATACGGCCCCTTTCCTCCCTCACCCCTGTGCTGCTGCTTTTTTTCTAACATTGAAAGAAAGAAACATATGTTCCCTTCCAAAGAGAGACACATTAAACACAAGCTTTTTTTAGTAAAGGGCTAGGCGAGTTTTCAGGGGCAAAGTGAAACTCTATCTGGACTGCAAAGGGCAATACGTGCCTTGGCCCAGACCCAGGTCTGTGCTGAATATATTTGAAGTGTAAATATTTGTATTCGTTGTATACATGGACTTGAAAGGCACTTGATAACAGACTATTGGTTGAGTGCCTATATAAGACTGAAAACGTCTACAGCACCTCTATAAGGACTATGGGAATTTCCATGTAAATGGACCCATGAGCATCAACGTGTGAAGTTCATAGGACCATATCAAATTGGGTGTCAAATGAAAGCTAAGAGTCTTTATTTTTGGGAAATGAAGGTATAGTTACATTTAGAAAAAACATTTTCCATCTTAAAAATGATGCATAAGTAAAGGCTTTGATTTCTGGATAAACAGATGGAAAAGGGTTCTTAGAAAACATCCGTTAGCAAAAACCCACATATCTTTAAGATATTTTCTAATTTCTCTCTCTCATGAGGAGGGAGGATAATAAAAGTTAACAGAAGTAACAAGTAAAGGTAGGCCTATCAATTAGTTATAGTGTTTTTACTGATATACATTTTGTTTATGAATTATAAAGTGATTAAAACTCGTAATTCCGTTACCAAATTGGTAACGGAATTACCAAAAAATCTGTAATGGAATTACTGCAACTGAATTGGCTACAATGGGAAATCATGATAGTCACAAACCACAGTTTGGTCACCTGCTACTGTCCTCCCTTCCACTGACATACTGTTATGTTCAGCTGATAACCGTTTTCTTTCTCTTTCTGTCAAACCACGAATGTTAAAAGTCTGAGTCTGGACAACCCCTCCCTCGCTCTCCCCTTCTCTCTCTCTCTCTCTCTCTCACTCTCTCTCACTCTGTTACCTCTCCCAGCTCTTACTGACACCTACCCATGAGCCCACTCTCTTTCCATTTACTATAAACAGCATCCTCATCCACTGGGCACCGACTGACACTGGGCGTCCATGGACGTTGAAAAGTAGTTGAAATTTGGTCAGTCCACCCTAGCCTTGATGTTAACGTCCACAGATGGACCAGAGCTCTGCCTTTATACAGTATATGTGTACATAGTAAGTTAGGTACATTATATGTTAGCACTGTACCAATAGCTATAGAGAGCAGCGTTCTCTATTGTTATGACATGTTGATGTCCCTGTCTGTAGTGTGTGGATACAGCTGCTGAGATGATTCATAGTGTCACAAAAACAACACATACAACTAACATGCTGCTGTTGAGTGTGTTCAGTGACTTGTGTGTGAATATGCGTGTATTAGGGAGGAACCTTTAAAGTCAATAGGCCCTATACTTTCTATCCTGAACTATAAACTCTCTCTTACTGTTTCTTTGTCAGTCAGAAATGTCAACCTGCCTCAGAATGACGGTTGAGAGCGTGTTGGAGTGGCGTCGGTCGGGTTGCTAGCAAACTTCCGCTTTGTGTTGGAGCTCGAAGACGTTTCAACATCTGTTGAGCGAAGCGTTGCGCACCTGTTTTCCTCTTCCTCCTCTCTTGACTATTTTGCCTCCCGCCTTTTCCCTACCCCCTCTGACTTCCCCTTTCACTCTATTACTGGTGCCATCAAGAAGCCTGAGGCTTTAGCTATCACACTGTCACAACAACTCAACCAATGACAGAGTTGGGTTTTAGAGGCTGTCCAATCATAGATCAGTTTGAGCCTAACCCAGAAGGATGTGGGGGTTCTTTTTGAGTAGTGTTTGTGGCTGTCTAGTCTGGCTAAATGAGTTTTACAGACACACACAGAGACACGTAAACACACACACAATTAACTATTTTAATGTCTCTTGTTATATATATTGACGTCCGGTGTCCACGTCATGAACTGAATGGATGCATTATTTCAGACTGTAAACTATCACCATGAGACGGAGGGCCTTTAGCAAGTAGTAAATTCCACCATGGGATTCCATAATACTTACGTGGCTGTGACTAGTAGACTGTCACTCTGCCCATGTTGCACACAGGTCTGTGTACTGGTGGGATTTCCACAGCCTACCCCAATCTATCAGGGGAAGCTTAGCTAAGCCTGGCTCTCTTCCCAGCCTGTTACTGCTGTCTGTCTGTCTCAGAGCAGATGCTAGCTATGCTCCCCCTAGGGACCATACTCAGCCTGAAATCCCCCTGTCTACAGCAGGGCTGAAAACACACTCACAGCATAAGAGAGAATGTGAGACTGTGTGTGTGAGCACAGATCCAGTCTTCCCGTCTTGATGAAGGGATAAGGCTGTGTGTGTTGGTAGTGTAGTTAGAAGTTTGTGTGATTAGTGAGGAATAGGGGCTATGCCACACAGGGACAGCCCTACAGTGGCGCAGGTCAGGGCAGGCAGAATGAGTGGAGGGGTGCAGGCTAGGCCCAATACATCCGGATCCACTAACAATAAAGAGAGGCCCATAGCACTGAGCAATCAGCCCTCTTTTGTCCCACTACACTACTGTACGTGTGTGTGTCTCCTCTGGGGAGGGGTGATGTGTGTTAGTAGGGCGGAGGCAGTAAAGGTGGGTGAGGAGGAGGTGAGGGAGGTTGTTGTTTTTCAGCACTTCTGCTGCAGACTCAGCCTGCTGAACAGAGAGGGCCCTTTTTCGCCCCGGTGACAGATCATATTAAAGATATAAGCTGCACTGAGAGTGTTGTTTTAGCTCTGGAGGTGCGAGGACGTAGGGGTTGCAGGGCTGTGTGTACAGGGGTAGCCAAGGCGTGCTAAGCAGTGAGGTGTTGGTAGGAGGGAGGGGAGGTGTCCTCGCAGATCTCTGAGAAAGGAAAGCAGCCATCGTTGTCACATGCGTCAACACAATGTTAGCAGATTTGTGAAACGGTTTCTTATTCACACCTCGGTGCGCATGAACTTAGTTACAAGCACATACAAGTGCAAGGGTCGCACACACACTGCTCAGAGTGACAAATGACAGGAAGGTAGACTCCAGATATGTCAAATCGGAGGTGTGAATTTTCTTGTGTATTTGCGTGTGTGTAAGTGCATATAAATGTGTACAAGCACGAGTTTGTTTTATTGTTGCAATATCATGTTGTTCTACAGTCGTGGTCAAATGTTTTGAGAATGACACAAGTATTGGTCTTCACAAAGTTCGCTGCTTCAGTGTTATGAGATATTTTTGTCAGATGTTACTATGGTATACTGAAGTATAATTACAAGCATTCCATAAGTGTCAAAGGTTTTTATTGACAATTACATTAGGTTTATGTTGACCCTTCTTTTTCAAGAATTCTGCAATCCACCCTGGAATGCTGTCAATTAACTTCTGGGCCACATCCTGACTGATGGCAGCCCATTCTTGCATAATCAATGCTTGGAGTTTGTCCGAATTTGTGTGTTTTTTTTGTCCACCCGCCTCTTGAGGATCGACCACAAATTCTCAATGGGATTAAGGTCTGGGGAGTTTCCTGGCCATGGACCCAAAATGTCGATGTTTTGTTCCCCGAGCCACTTAGTTATCACTTTTGCCTTATGGCAAGGTGCTCCATCATGCTGGAAAAGGCATTGGTCGTCACCAAACTGTTCTTGGGTGGTTGGAAGAAGTTGCTCTCGGAGGATGTGTTGGTACCATTCTTTATTCATGGCTGTGTTCTTAGGCAAAAATGTGAGTGAGCCCACTCCCTTGGCTGAGAAGCAACCCCACACATGAATGGTCTCAGGATGCTTTACTGTTGGCATGACACAGGACTGATGGTAGCGCTCAACTTGTCTTCTCCGGACAAGGTGTTTTCTGGATGCCCCAAACAATCGGAAAGGGGATACATCAGAGAAAATGACTTTACCCCAGTCTTCAGCAGTCCAATCCCTGTACCTTTTGCAGAATATCAGTCTGTCCCTGATGTTTTTCCTGGAGAAAAGTGGCTTCTTTGTTGCCCTTCTTGACACCAGGCCATCCTCCAAAAGTCTTCGCCTCACTGTGCGTGCAGAAGCACTCACACCTGCCTGCTGCCATTCCTGAGCAAGCTCTGCACTGGTGGTTCCCCGATCCCGCAGCTGAATCAACTTTAGGAGACGGTCCTGGTGCTTGCTGGACTTTCTTGGGCGCCTTGATGCCTTCTTCACAACAATTGAACCTCTCTCCTTTAAGTTCTTGATGATCCGATAAATGGTTGATTTAGGTGCAATCTTACTAGCAGCAATATCCTTGCCTGTGAAGCCCTTTTTGTGCAAAGCAATGATGACGGCACGTGTTTCCTTGCAGGTAACCATGGTTAACAGAGGAAGAACAATGATTTCAAGCACCACCCTCCTTTTAAAGCTTCCAGTCTGTTATTCTAACTCAATCAGCATGACAGAGTGATCTCCAGCCTTGTCCTCGTCAACACTCTCACCTGTGTTAACGAGAGAATCACTGACATGATGGCAGCTGGTCCTTTTGTGGCAGGGCTGAAATGCAGTGGAAATGTTTTTTTGGGATTAAGTTCATTTTCATGGCAGAGGGACTTTGCAATTAATTGCAATTCATCTGATCACTCTTCATGACATTCTGGAGTATATGCAAATTGCCATAATCAAAACTGAGGCAGCAGACTTTGTGAAAATTAATATTTGTGTCATTCTCAAAACTTTAATCTTGACTACGATCAAGGTCAGCAGAGTGCCACAGGAAAAAGCCCTGTCCACATTCTCATAGGGGGAAATTCCAACCCAAGTTAAGCGCGCGTAAATGGAACATATTTCCCTTTTTATCCACTTTTCTCTCTATGCGTATTCTGACCTTGAACTTAAGCATGAGAATAGCATGCTATTCAACCACTATTCGGTTGGGGGTGGAGATCTAAGAAATTAAGGTGTGGCAGAGGTGTGTATTCTGACATTGACTTAATGCCCTCATAATTCCACCACCTTTACGCGTGAGGAAACCATGAATAAGGTTGAGCAACCTGTCGATTCCAAGTGGAAAAACGTTGACTTTTTTTTACGATAGAAATAACACCAATCTCCATGCACTGTAATTCATAAATTGATAAGAACTACTGTATTGATAAGACCTAGGTAAATGAGTAATCTGTTTGGATAAGGGGATTGTAAATATAAATGACAATTGTTTTAGGTCTATTTTACCTTATGATCACTAGAGACAAAATGTGAAACCAGTCATATTTCAGCAAACTGAAAAGCATGCCAACATGACAGGTATTTCGGCCTCTTTTCCACAGTAAAGTATAAATAGCTGTATTTATTCTGAATTTGAATTGTAGGCCTATAGCTTCATAATTTGCGGGGATGAAATTTGGAGACCCAAGCCCAGGCTGTAGCCTATGGAAACCCGTGCGCACTGACATTAGCGTTGAACCTACAGAGTTGATTTATGCACTGTAGAATGTTTTCATTATATGCCCAGACTTTTCCGTTTTTAATTTTTATTACCATTTCTATCATATTAAATATTAGCCACTATCGGTATCCACCGTCAGTAATACCCGCATACATAATAACTGTCACCTCAGTGCAGTGACTGTTAGTTTTCTTCAATTTGCAGCCTACATTTTGTATCATTTCATTACATTCTGTTTACCTTTCTTTCCTCCGTCACATCCGTGTGGTTGTTCCTGATGGTCGCTAGCAATAGTGGATCATATTAGGCTAACGTATTACAAGATCTGCAATAATTTGGGATATGTAGCCTATTTGAATAATTATAGAACGCAGACTATACATAGCAGTTTGAACCTGGAGTCTCACAGTTCTGTGATTAATGAGGATTAGGGTAGACTATTGTTCAACCCCTATTGTACACTTTTCTATTCTTCCAATATTTCATGGATTGAAGAATTAAATGGCAACTTTCAGGATGAATCAAACCCCTGTATTTTTTATTGAACAATGTATTTTGTTCATAAAGGCTCTCCAACCCTGTTTATGTATGATTAATAAATACTTTGCTAACCCTAAATAATGTATAAGATCAGAGTATTTTTTTAATCTACCGATTGGTACCGAAAAGGAGACGAATATGCCTGTATTTAGATGGCTTTCTTTCATTGATCCCTATTCTGAACCTGTCTCTCGATATATATTCTCGTGAGTCTGTCGAGAAAATTATATTTAAAGGTACACTGTATTTAAAGGTGATGGCTTTAGATAAATGTACTTACTGAAAACCCTATTGAATGAAAACGCCACAAGAAAATGTTTTGGCCAGCAAGTGGGAGGGTTTTTAGCGGTTGAATTACATTTTTTCAGTGCGTGTAAGGGAGCCACGCCTACAAAGCCCATTGCGCACCTGCATATGTTAAGTCTGAATACCAACTACTGAGAAGTGCTTAAATCAAAACGTGTAAAAAAGGAATAGATTTCCTAAGTCTGAATTGGGCCCATAGTGCAGACCAGACATTAAAATGCTGTAACAGGCTGGCCAGTGGTTAGTATTTGCTGCCTTTGTTAAAGTGATGTTTGAACCACAGGCTGAAGAGCCAAGTCTTCTCTCCCCCATGTTTACCCAAGGGATTACTGACTCCTCCAGCTCTGGAACCAACATTACATCTCCAAACACCTATTATTTGCTGACTGTTCCTTACCATTAAGTCCCAGAAAAATAAATATGTCAACCACAGAGTCATCCACAGCGTTTTCCAGTAAGCCACAGGTACTCCTTCACACTATTCACCCCCTCCCCTCTCCATAGAAAAACTGTTTGTCATAATGCAGTAAGGGAGAAAACATTCCAAATCATGGGCTATTTATTTGTCTAAATCGAGATCTGAACTTTTATTAAATTAGGTCTAAAAGGTTGTAATAACTCCCTCCTGTATGGGTGAGTGAAAATAAGGAAGAAGCAGTTAACAGAGTGGGCTTATACTTCCCTCCATTGGTAGGTAAACAGGAAAGACGTTTGGGGAGGAAAGGGGGCTGAGTTTGGGTATGCAATTGGCCGTGCTTCTCTGTGTTTCTGAGAAAAAGCCCCTAGGCTGCCTCACTTGCACCATCAGGCAGAATTAAAAGTACTGGCTGAGGCCTCTGTAAATAATTCTGTAATTCTTTGCGTGTCCACTTGCTGCGTATGACGTCAGCGAATACAAAGTGAAAATGTTGTTGGATGAAACCCCCCCCCCCGGGGCATATGTGTGCACATAAAGAGGGGTGTGTGTGTCCACCCAGACAGGAGCAGACTTATATAACTAGCCTGAGAAGTAGAAAAGGGGCATAACAAAGCAGTAGACAATGCTATGCTCCTCTTTATTTCCTCCTTAATAGAAACTTCTGCATTCATGTCACAACGACTTTCAGAAAAGCAAACAGAGAGACACAGATGGGGAGAAGAGAGGAAAAAGAGCCTGTGATGAGCTAATGGTTTAGCTCTTTCTCGTTCTGTCTGTCCCTGGCTGAGGTATTTAGGCTCATTTGCGGTGCTTTCACAGCGGGGCTTTAGTGGGATTATCTACAGTAGTGTGTGTGTGTCTATTTCTGTCTGCCTGTTTTTCTCTCTTGGTGTGTGTTTGTGTGTATGGAGGGTTTGGGGGTAGCTGAGAGGTTTGGGGGTAGTTGAGGCCTAGTGTTTCTCTTTAGGGGGTTGTACACGATGCTGATGGGTGTATGGGTCACATCAGCCAGGGTCAAAGAAGCATCACCTCTGACCTCTCAGCCCTACCTCGCCACTAATGAAGAAACCTAATCATGCCATGGCTCTACAGGCCTCACCTCAGGCTGGATGGCTGAGGACACTAACAGACGGAAGTATTATAGCAGAGTCACTGTATACATGGCATCTGCCAGCTCCCTCTTGCCCCACTCCTGTACCTAGTCAGAGTGAATGGTGTGAATGTTTGTCCCAGGACATAAGTTTCCTCTGAAATCAATCGAACATATTCAATTTACAGACCGCATTCCAGCGGATTTATCAGTCAGTCAGCCAATATTTGCTCCGTTTTTAATCGCAGAAATCAAGTGTGATGGAGAGGCTGAGCGTAGAGAGAGCGCTCGCCATCGCCTCAGGTCATTCCAAACAACAGACTCTCTCCATACCTCTCAGGTCATTCCAAACAACAGACTCTCTCCATACCTCTCAGGTCATTCCAAACAACAGACTCTCGCCATACCTCTCAGGTCATTCCAAACAACAGACTCTCTCCATACCTCTCAGGTCATTCCAAACAACAGACTCTCTCCATACCTCTCAGGTCATTCCAAACAACAGACTCTCTCCATACCTCTCAGGTCATTCCAAACAACAGACTCTCTCCATACCTCTCAGGTCATTCCAAACAACAGACTCTCTCCATACCTCTCAGGTCATTCCAAACAACAGACTCTCTCCATACCTCCTACTCGATTGGCCTTAGAAATGTGTGTCCTTTATGTCTTTAACGGCCCATGTCCAATTCCACATCAGATTAGATCACGGGTCTCTTAAATGAGGTGTTTTTCCTCTAAACCTTCCTCTTTGACATAAGTGCTGCTGCTATGTCACCATGTCTGCAGGTTATGCATCTGGGAGTTGAAGTGAGGATGGCTGGGCTGACTAGGTGGTTAGACAGGAAAGCACCAAAGTCAGACAGATGTGACACTTTTTTCTCTCCTGGCACTGATCTACCTGTAGGCTTTTTCAGAAACACCCATCTCCATTTCAACATCAAGGTGGCCTTTGAAAGCGCAATTGGCACCGAGGGCGAGCCTTTCATGTGATTTGTGGAGCATAGGCGTGGCCGAGCTGCTGACTTAGGGGATGGACACACCTGGCAGGTGCACACACACACATACAGACACACACATACACAGACACACACACCAACACACACAGACACAGCTGTGTGCACATAAACACATGAACACTCGCCTCTCTTTGTTTACTATGAAGAGAGACTGCACTGTCAAGAAAGATAGCACCGCAAATGTCATTGTCTATTTGCATTCTTTGTACAGTCTGCGTGCCAAATGCAAATAGAATCAACCTGCCCCCCACTCCCACCCTCCCCATTTCCCCCCTCAACCTTCTGAAATTGTGTGAACACACCCAACAGAATAAATATTGGTAACAAACAGCAATGATCAAGTTAATTCTGTAGAAGTACAATAATGTGTGTGGGAAAGAGTGTGGTAGTATCATAAAAACAGAATACACAGTAGTAAAGGGCCTGCTATGACTGAATGCATGTGCATACACATGTCTCTGTTTGCATGCATGCAAGTTTATGAACTGTACACATAGTGTAGAGCACCATGGCTGCCTCTGTTGCCTCTCACCTAGGGTTGAGCTACAAACAAATAGGCAATTTTCCTTTTCCTCTGTTTTTATCTTAGTCATGTATGTTCTCAGCCCAGCCCTGTGTCCCTCGTCTCTGGTGAATTCATCTTTCTCAGGAACTGATTAACTCTGGGTGAGATAGATAAAGTACTAACAGCCCTTCCCCTCGGAGGATATGTGACGGGTGATGTCATCACACAGAGAGAGAAGACGGAGGCTAAATACGGTTAGGGGATTAATTCAGCTGAACTCGGCAGGGAGGAGAGGGGGAGAGGGAGAGGGGGAGAGGGGAGAGGGGGAGAGGGGGAGAGGGAGGAGAGGGGGAGACGGAGGGGGGAGAGAGGGAGAGGGGGGAGAGAGGGAAAGGTGGTGGGGCAACTGCATGCGAGCAGCGACAGGGAGGGTCTCAACACTTCAGTCATCTCCTCTTTTTTCTCTCTTTCTATCGCACGTCTTCTCTCTCTCTCTCTCTGTTCATCAGCAGAACATTGACGTACACAAAGCTGCTTCTCAGAAAGCACAGGGTGGCTCTAATCAAAGAGACTGTGCTGTAGGGTTCACTTTGTACAATTTTGCTCGTAGGCCTACTGTACAACAAGTGCAGTGTTTTGGGACGAAGTGACACAAAAGCAACATAGTGTATGTGAGGGGAAGAGGAGAAGGGAGGATAATGTCAAATACTTTCAACATTAGTTGGAAAAAAGAATGTGTGTCTGCATGTGTGTGTGTTTTTGTGTGTATGGGTTTTTTATCATGCTGTGTGAGGTGAGTGTTGTGTGTTTGGCAGATCATTGCCGCAGGGGTGCTTCCTTCCTGTCCGTCAGGTTTCCTAGCTGGATCTGTAAACATTAATAAAGCGCCTCCCTCCCCCTGTACCAGCCTCTTTGCTGGCAGCCATGCAAATGCAGGCTCTACACAAACACACAGTAAAGCCCTGAGCAGCCCGACCCGCTCCACTCTGCCAGCCAGCCAACCGACAGGTGAACGTATGCAGGCCAACCAGGGTACGGGCTCTCATTCCTCTCACAATGGGATAGAGGGATGGTCATCTGCTTTTATGGTATACTTAAACTCATGTACTGTACTGTGTACTTCACAATATGCAGACAGCTGGTTAGCTGAGGATATCATAAAGTCTGTGTTTTTTTTTACACTAAAATATTTAGGAAGGAATAATGTAAGGATTCTCATTATCAAGTAAAAATGGGGTGGTTCCATTCTCTATTTGAGTGCACTCATACCCTCCTTTTAAACCTTTTAAACACAAAATTCCCCTTCCCTAAATTAAACAATGTCACTTCATAGCAGGATGGGGCCTGGCCACCAGGGTGTATAATAAATAAAAGGCCACTCTGATGCCTTGAGTGCAGACATGACATGTAGACAGAGAGGAGACTGCTTTACTGTATGTGCATGCTTATTTCTAACTACAGGAAGCCAACAAACTGACTTGTGCATACAAGCAAGAACACACACAGCCTGTTTGTCTTCAGCAGTGCATGCACACAGACACAAACAAAATGCAGTACGTATAATTTACTACACACATAGACATAGCCAGCAACGCTCACATTTCCCACAAACACAGAGGATATTATTATCTATTCCTCCCCCTTCCCTTTCTCCACACTGTTGTCCTCCATTTTCAACGCCTCCTCAAATAGCCTCCAGCCTGGCAGGGGGGCGATGCGCCACCCCTCGCCCTTCACCCCCTCGCCACTCGCTAGGATCCCCATGTCCCCTCCATGTGGCACACAGAACCTCCTGGCTCCCTGCATTGGTCAGTTGGTCTGTTTTGACTGGGCTGAATCCACCCTATCCCAAATAACACCCTTAATGAGTACAGAGCATAGCAATTCACCCATCCGGGGCAGCCACTAAAGTACAGTAGAAACATAATAAACATGATTTCTCAACAGGAAGGATCATTAAACCCTATACCCATCTGATCTGACTGGTCCCAGCCAAGCATGGTCACACACACACACAAGCCACTTTGATATGCATCACTACCCAAATGATGGCTCTAACGGCTTTAGCATATTGGGCTAAAACCGTTAGCATAAAACATCTCTTTAAGAGTATTAAGTCAAGGAGCCACTTATGTGGTCACCCAGGTACAACCATCTGACTAAAGGCAGCAGGGTGAGGCCATATGGTATTTGCGGCTTGGAGACACACCGCTCCTCTTAGCGGTCTCTGGTTATGCATTAATACACTTTACCATTTCCTCTGACAGTGCCACTCCCCACACCCTAATACCACACACACACATACACTGCTGCACCATCGAACACACTTTATTGTCTCCCATTGACTGCAATTGCTGGTCAACTGTTGTTGATCCTCCCACACACTGACGCACACACACACACTCATGGACATGCACACACACTGCTATATTTTCTTGTATCATCTGCATATGACTCATGTATCTCTTTTAGTCTCCAATGATGGCACCCTGTTCTCTCATCCCCTACACCAAGAATAGCCTCTCTCTTTCTCTCTCTCTCTCTCTCTCTCTCTCTCCTCTCTCTATCTCTCTCTGTGAATCCCTCTACACACAGCTCCTGATATAGCAGTACATTAGACTTCTGACAAGACAAATATTCTCATGTACCCTGTAAGTACTCACGTCTGGGTTCCCTGGGCCCATCCACGGTCACTTTAATGGCACGGTGGTAGGTGGCCACCTGAGGAGGACCGGTGAAGACTGTTATGGTCAGAGTGAAGCTCTTTCCTGGGGTAGACAGAATAGAGAGGGCCTTGGTTAGTGAAGGTCATCAGTAAGACATAGATTCAGGAGGAGCATCACGTGTGAGGGTTTATAGGCTTGGTTAATTAATTGTGGAAATAAACAGATTTTTGTGGAACAAGCACTTTGTTGATAACCCCCACAGTCAGCTTGCTGAATTAAAATTGCCTTCTGATATGCCTCCCTTTTAAGTTTGTGAATTAAAGAGACCACCTCTTTGATGAGCTGAAATGTGGGCATGATTTGAATTATTGAGAGAATGTATTCCAGATTGTCTGAAAGGCTTACAGCAACAGTTTATTGTTCAACGAGGCCGATTCTTGCACGAGTTTCCTCGAGCTCTCCATCTGCATTAAAGGCGTGGGGAGAGCGCTAGATCATGCAACGGTCCGTTTTTCATCTCAGGCTATGAAGCGGCGCTTTAATAAAAAAAAAGGCATAGCCTATCTTGTTAAAGAGACTGTTGGGGAAAAAGGAATCCTGGGGTGGGGTAATTGACTACAAAAATGAAAGGTACTTTTAATTAGGAGACTAGAGCGTTTTCCATTCATCAGTCAGCAACGATTTAAAGTATAATGCGCGGGCCAGGGGCAAGGAGGAAGGAGAGGGAAGAGAGAAGGTTCTGGTGGAATGTCAGCTATGTGAGCGCTAGTTTTTAAAGGTGTGTAAACAAGCAAATCCCAAGCCTTGAACTGAATATTCTGGTCCAGGCGATTTGTTTATTTGGACATGTAAAGACAATGTTCATATAGAATATAGGTTGCGGCTACTAACCCGATCATCTTTTGAGGGGGGCGTGCCTGATGGTCAATTATAGAAAGAACTGTGGCAATGCCTGAGCATTAGGCTGTAGTTTGAAATTGGGCTTTGCTCTTTGTCCATAAAGCATTATCAAACGAAATCTTACAATTTGTAATAATTATATTGTGCTCTGGATTTAATCTCTTCCAATAAACACTGGTAATGGTGGTGCGCTCTTTCCAGCTATTACCCCAGGAAATGAATTGCGACGTGGTTTTCATCTGATTCTCACGTTCCCTAACATTTTTATTTTATCCATTAATTTATTTGATCACTTTCTTTGTTTAAAATAGATTACCAAAATTAGGTATACTCAGGCTATAGTTTTGCAAGTCAGTGCGATGACGCATGCAGGCAGGTGTTTTGTATGTGAAGGAAACTCTTCATTATTAATGCTGTAAGGATAGAGGTGCATGACTTCTTCCGCTCACCTCGTCCGCTCCTGCCCACGAACCGCAGGTCGTTGAAGCGGGCGACCTGGTTCTTCATCACCGCAGACGCATTCCTAAGCTCCGCTGAGTAGTTCTCGTCGTTCCCCGCCATCACTGTGACCAAAGTCCCGTCGGGCACATCACCCAGTGCGACAACCTGTGAGAACACAACGCGGTCAACCTGGATCACCATGCTAAACAAACACAGACTACACCAAACCGCATCCGGTGGAAGAAAAAAAAACGCACCATAAAACTAAAGTATTAGACCTGATTTCCAATCCATTAAAAAATGCATTTGATATTTAGTTAGCAAATATTTGGGTCAAAATATATAGGCCTATTGTGCTATATAGGTGGGTTAAACTACATGGTAATATGCTTCCTTGAAGCAAGCTTGCAATTAAATAACTTAATATTTTAAGCTATGGAAATTACTTTTACATTTAATCGGCCTATATCCAAATCACTTTCAAAAGAATGTTAGCACATTTTAATAAATAAGAATACGATCTCAACAAGCATTTGAGGTCCCCGGGACCACCCATTCACAAAAATGTATGCACGCATGACTGTAAGTCGCTTTGGATAAAAGCGTCTGCTAAATGGCATATTATATTATTATTTTTTAATTTGGATGTGATACAATAAAATATATTTAGGCTATTTTACAAAACATTACACTTTTAGGCCACGAATTCTATCACTTCCTGGTATATACATATAATTGATATCATGCAGTGAAGCATCGTTTCATTGCTTCGAAATATGCAGATTTTTTTCTGCATTGAAAGACCTTTCAAAAAATGTAATAATAACTAGCTTACCAACTATAATTCATTTATTTTATTATTAACATTATTGTTACTAAATTATCAGTATTATGTTGTATGCTAATTGTTCCTTCATTGTATGTAGGCCTATTTGCAGTTCGTGCAAATCCAAACACATTAGGCTATGTAAATGTTATATTCAATTGAGTCCAATGCAAAATAAAGCAACAACAAAAAAAGAATACTGCCAAGTTATCACTTTGGTAGGCCACTGATTTTGACAACTTGATTTAATTGAATTATTTATATTACAGAACATGACTCTGCGTAAACTTTGTAATAATAACGCCAGTTTATGACTTGTTGGCTATATGAAGCTCAAGAAAACTTTAAAATGGCATTTGACACTTGAGCCCATATTATTATTCGGCAGCCTACAGTAATACACCATTAGGTCGTTCATTATTTTATAAGTGCCCATTTGTAATTAGTAATTTGCCTCACCTTGAAAGCCACAGGGAGTGTCTTGTTGCACCTCCAGTGTGAGGGCAGCACGGAGCAGAGGAAGTTTGGGCTGTCCGTCCGAACCAGCTCGCCAGCGTGGTCTGACAGGACGTCCACCACATTCCTGGCCTCGGGTCGTGTCCTCAGCGGTCCAGGGGTGCCCATGGTCCCGCTGCCGTCTCCAATCTTGCTGCAGGGGAACGACGTGGAGGGCGGTGTGAACCGTCTGGTGGTGGTGGGGTCTACGGGAATATGCATCACAACAGCTTGGGTCACGGCCACTTCTCTAGGGGTTTTGACGAGTGTTCGGGGCTCTCTTTTTTTAGAATGTGTATATTTTCTCGCTCTCTGACACTTGCTCCTTTGGTCTCGGCGAAGTCCAGCGGTTTACGCGATGATGGAGCTGAGCGCACGCAGCCCCCCCGGTTAATCAATCACGATGAGTCCTGAACTGTCCAGTGTGTGTAGTAGATGTTGTATCTTGCAGAGACGATAAAGTTTAATGGTTGCGTGCTATATCATCTGCTCAGGATGTAGCTGCCTGATAAACATCGAGTTGCTTTCTGTTTCTCACTGACAACAACAAAACCAAGAAACCGCAAACTCCGATCTAACCTCTTTCTCACTGCGCTCTGCTCTGGTTGCCTATGCTATGGCTCACTTTCTATTCTGCACTATTCAGCACTTGATGCGACGCCCCTCCACACTACAATTTTGGCCGCATATTAGAAAATAAAGGTATAAGGCAAACTATAAAATCCAGTCGTTTTTGCAATATTCACGGAAGCTGACGATTCGAGTGCTGCTTGTTTGCGCTTCAACTTTACAGCAGAATTTTCTCAATATTGCTTCACCCTCCGTGACTGAATGAGCTCCTTCAATTGAATTGTGCTCTTCGAGTCTCGCCAAAGTAGGCTACAGTGTACTCAGCAATTCACAGTTCTCGACGCAGAGTTTGAGGCGCAGAAGTCGGATGGTTGCACGCGGACTTCAACTGAAGAAGTTTCTGTTTATTCAATGATTTTTGTTCCTCGGTATCAAATGTCCTGCCACTTGCCACATATTATCCTTAATGAAACTAAAAAGTAAGTCGAGATCCCAAAACTATTTTCTTGTTAACTATTCTCTCTCTAGGTTGAAATAATCGTGAATATCTAGTCCTTTTGCTGTAGTAAATGCAGTTGAAGGTAACGAAGAGGCGCTTGACTGAGTGGTGGTGCGAGAGCGAAGAGTGCGGTGATATTATTTACTCAAGTCATTTTACTGTTTAGTGGTTGGAGTGTGGCGATGACTTCCACCAATGAGTCGCCTGGGTTGGGCTTTCTTTCATTAGACCAATCAAAGTCTCCGGAATATAAGCGAAGTGAAAGCGCTCTCTGCTTACTCTGTCATACACATAAGATATATTATTGATAGACTACGTATCTTGTGCTTTTCTTCGCTATGTGCTTAGTTGATTTAATGATTTGCACAGTTAGGCTACATTTATACTTAATACATATTTATAATGCAAAATAAAAGTTAGGCCTATTTGTTTATTGAATATTTAATAAAAAAAAACGTTGTTATGATTGATCAGTCTTCCTTCTTTATATGACACCAGCAAAATGATATAGGCTACTACCTTTCGAAGAAATAGAATCACATAATGCATTCTGCCTATATTAGCACAACACCGCAGTGTGTTTACATACAGTGTGAAAATAAAACAATAATTCAAGCTGGCGCATTTATTTGGTGACTGCTGAAGAGACATTTAGGGAAACATATAAAATTAATCTTTCCATGATAAGTAGGCCAGTCATATAATGTAGCGTTGGACAACTTATGATATTTTTATGGGCCTATACTCACTATTAGCATATTAGCATAATAATTAGCATAATAATGGTTTTACTACATTTACATTTACATTTTATCCATTTAGCAGACGCTCTTATCCAGAGCGACTTACAGTTAGTGAGTGCATACATGTTTTCATACTGGCCCCCCGTGGGAAACGAACCCACAACCCTGGCGTTGCAAGCGCCATGGTCTACCAACTGAGCTAATTACTAAAATTAATAGGCTGCTACTTCTGAATGCAGAATTGTCAATCAACTGCAATGTGCTATTTATCATGTTAGGAATTCATGCACCTTTCAAACTACATATGGTTTATTGATCAATATGAGTTGTGAATTTAATATGATTTTCCCATCCTTGTCCCTTAATTCACTCCTGCTTTTTCAGAGAACATCAAAGGCATCTACGGATGACTGTTTTTTGTTTAGTATTATGTAATAGCGAGTAATAGGCTTGGGCTGGATTAAATGACCTGTAGTGCTGATAGGGTTAGAGACCTATTGACAAAATATGTGGAATTAGCAATATACTTTTGTTATTTTTTTTATTTATTTTTAAAATATTATTTGTTACTACTATATCCAGGGAAATAGGCTAAATTAGGCTAATGATGCGTACTATAAAAAATAATATTGGCCTCCATTTTACACAATATGCATAGTAGGTGCATCTTTGTAAATATAGCCTATATAATTATATATAATTGTGTTATCACTTTGATTTGATCACGCCAAATTGAAACTAATTAAAGCATACAAAGATTTTCCTTATAGGCTTACATAACAACTACAATTGTGCCAAATACAGTAACCACAGGCAATTATTAATTGGAATTCCATCATTTTAATAGGTTACTGTGTACTGCACAAGAAACGACACACCCTGTTCACTCCTTCCCAGGCAATGATGGCTCGCAGGCGCTAGTTGGCGCAATTTGTCTTTGTCAAATGGACCTGCCTTCAGTACAGAGGAGGTATGGAGAGAGAAACGGCATTTAAACCATCAGGGAAATTAGAAATAACAACACATATACTATGTACCTGCACCAAGACGAAAACATGTGAGTCATAGACGACCTATTATCACCTGTGTCGAACTTGACGTTTTTTTGTTGTTGAAAATTCATCAGAAATTCTACTCGGGATCCCAAATAATGACATTTCCATTATTTTCTGAATTGAAGTATAGGCTTCTAGGGGGAAATAAAAATCACCCAAGCTTTATTCGTTTAATGTCACCTTTTACTTTCTAATCAAGTTATGAATAAATGTGCTGTTTTACTCCTATAGCCTATCATTTGGATTAAGAAAGTGGATTTTGTTTTAGAATTTAGACACCCCCCCCCCCCCCCCCCCCCCCCCCCCGCAGGTGTATGGAGGCAATTTTTCAATTTTGTCCAACGCACAATAAATTATGGAATAAACAAAGATATGACTGTATAGCTCACATATAAAATAGCAGTTATTTAGTAAACATACAAAAGTAAGCAGAAAACCATTATGAAGATGTCCTACAATCACATTCGATATAGGCCTAGAGTACATATTAATACAAAAACAAATAAATAAATAAATGTCAAATATTTGTGGATAACTTGTTTATTAAATCAAGAGGTATTTGATTGTTGGGGCTATTTTGTGGTGTTAAATGATCCATAGATGCACACAAACCACAAATATATTAAAAACCGCTCCCATCAGAATTATGTCAGAAATAAATAACACAAAACACATCCAGGGATCGAATAATGCCTTGAAACGATTCATTGATGCAAGCTGTTATAATTTTCCTACCAATGTGTGGATCTAAGGTAAATGTATTCGCCTTCAATTTTCCTAAATACTGTTTAGTTGCAGGCAGTAGGCTATATATTATTGCGTTATTGAAGTTAATTCCCATTGGGATTACTAATGTAGGTTAATAGTGTTTGATATGTAATTATGCATGACAATCATTACTACTCACCTGGGGAAAAATGTATCTTTAAATATATTTTTCTCACTTATATTGAATATACAAAGTGTGTGTTTGCGTGTTTGCGTGTGTGCGTGCGCGCATGTGTCTTCTGTTGTTGTTTATTTTAGATAGTAAGGAAATTGTGGTAAGGAAAGGATGGGAGTGGGTTTAGATTTACCCTTCATTTTCTTTATTATACTGATGTCAGTCAGACAGATACGAAGCCAAAGTCTTGCGGGGAGAGTGGCGAGGGAGATGGGATGAGAAAAGTATACACTCTTCACGTCTGCCAAGGCCGAGACCGTTAGGAGGGAAGCCATTTTAAATCATATTTTAACGACTTTAATTGGCGCCAAACACATTGATAACAATTATCACACAGCCGTAGTCTGTCTATACAGTGCCTTCAGAAAGTATTCACACCCCTTGACTTTTTTCCACATTTCGTTGTGTAACATACAGCCTGAATTTAAAATTGAATAAATGTAGATTTTTTTGGTCACTGGCCTACACACAATACCCTATAATGTCAAAGTGGAATTATGTTTTTCGAAATGTTTACAAATTAATTAAAAATGAAAAGCTGAAATGTCTTGAGTCAATAAGTATTCAACCCCTTTGTAATGGCAAGCCTAAATAAGTTCAGGAGTAAACATTTGTCACATAAATTGTGTGGACTCACTCTGTGTGCAATAATAGTGTTTACCTTTATTTTTTCATGATTACCTCATGTCTGCTGCTCTGTACCCCACACATACAATTATCTGTAAGGTCCGTCAGTCAAGCAGTGAATTTCAAACACAGATTCAACCACAAATACCAGGGTGGTTTTCCAATGCCTTGCAAGAAGGGTACATATTGGTAGATGGATATACAAAAAAAGCAGATATTGAATATCCCTTTGAGCATGGTGAAGTTATTAATTACAAGTTGGCTGGTGTATCAATACACCCACTCACTGCAAAGATACAGGCCTCCTTCCTAACTCAGTTGCCAGAGAGGAAGGAAACCGCTCAGGGATTTCACCATGAGGCCAATGGTGACTTTAAAACAGTTACAGAGTTGAATGGCTGTGATAGGAGAAAACTGAGGATGGATCAACAACATTATAGTTACTCCACAATACTAACCTAAATGACAGTGAAAAGAAGGAAGCCTGTACATAAAAATATTCAAAAACATGCACTAAAGTAAAACTGCAAAAAAATGTGGCAAATAAATTAACTTTATGTCCGGAATACAAAGCATTATGTTTGTGGCAAATACAACACAACACATAACTGAGTACCACTCTTCATATTTCCAAGCATGGTGGTGTATGCATCATGTTAAAGGTCTGCTTGTCATCAGCAAGGAATAGGGAGTTTTTTAGGATAAAAATTAACAGAATAGAGCTAAGCACAGGCAAAATCCTAGAGGAAAACCTGGTTCAGTCTGCTTTCTAACAGACACTGGGAGACAAATTCACCTTTCAGCAGGACAATAACCTAAAACACAAGGCCAAATATAGAATATAATTGATTACCAAAATGACATTGAACGAGTGGACTAGTTCATTTAAAAAAAATTTATCAGCTTGAAAATCTTTGGCAAGACTTGAAAATAGCAGTCTAGCTAT